CTGTCCCTCAGCTCTTCAGCTCAAGGCTAGCACTCTACCACTTGAGCCACAGTACCACTTCTGGCTTTTTCTGCTTATGTGGTGCTGAGGAATTGAACCCAGGGCCTCATTAATACAAGGCAAGCACTTTACCACTGAGCCATCTTCCCAGCCCCTTGCTGCCCTAACTTTTTTTTGTGTCTGCCAGTACTGGGGCTTGAACTCAGAACCTGGGCTCTGTCTCTTAGCTTTTTTGCTCAATGGCTAGTGCTCTGTCACTTGAACTACTCCCCACCCCCATCCACCCTTCTAGCTTTATGATGGTTAGAAATAAGAGTCTCATGGACTTTCCTACCCAGGCTGGCTTTGAACCTCAATCCTCAGATCTCAGCTAGGATTTCAGGTGTTAGCCACCAGTACTTAACTTCTTGGTTTCTTTTGCTCTCTTTCCTTACTTTTTCCCCAGTATATGCTTATGTGTTTTCTCTACAAATCTAAAAGACTCATAATTTCAAGGATCTTCTTGCTGATCACTTTGATAAAAACAGAGCTTTAAAAAGCCCTATTCATGCCGGGCACCAATGGCTCACACCCATAACCCTAGCTACTCAAGAGGCTGAGATCTGAGGATCACCATCCAAAGTCAGCCTGGGCAGGAAAGTCTGTGAGACTTTTTTTTTTTTTTTTTTGGCTCCGGTTGTGGGGCCTGAATTCTGGGCGCTGGTCCCTCAGCTCTTCAGCTCAAGGCTAGCGCTCTACCACTTGAGCCACAGCACCACTTCCGGCTTTTTTTTCTTTTTGCTTATGTGGTACTGAGGAATCGAACCCAGGGCCTCAGGCATGCAAGACAAGCACTCTACCACTGAGCCACCTTCCCAGCCCATCTGTGAGACTCTTATCTCCAATTAGCCACCAAAAATCTAGAAGTGGTGCTGTGGCTCATGTGGTAGAGTGCTCTTAAGCTGAAGAGCTCTGAGACAGCACCTAGGCCCAGAGTTCAAGCCCTACAACCAACCAAAAAAAAAAAACAAAACCCTATTCATGGTTAGAAACAGAGTGGTCAGATTCCCAAAGAACGTTGTACCTCTCTGTTGAGAATAGGCATTAAGCATCTATTCTGAGTGAGGCCCTGAGCTAATCACAGTGTCACTCACTGTTCTGTTTATTTATGAGTGTATGTGGTGACTCTGGGTTTGTTTGTTTGTTTCCAGTTGTGGGGCTTGAACTCAGAGCCTGCGTACTGTCCCCTAACTCTTTGCTCAAGGCTACACTCTACCACTTTGAGCCACAGCTCCACTTTTCCATTTTCGGGTGGTTAATTTTCGGGTGGTTTCAGGTGGT